CTGAGGATATGATCATGCGATCGATGAAAACATATTTGGTTGTGGCATCGATCATGCGATCGATGTTGGGCAAAAGGAAGGAGTCCTTGGGACATGCCTTATTCACATCCTTATAGTCTACACACATTCTTAATTTATTCCCTTTTTAGGGACTACCACTACGTTTGCTAACCAATTCGTGTATTTAACCTCCCGAATGGACCCTATTTTAAGGATTTTTGATACCTCGTCCTTGATGAAAATATGTTTGACCTCGGACTGGGGCCTCCTCTTCTGCTTGACCGGGTGGAACTCCAGGTCCAGTCTTAGCTTGTGATTGGTTATCTCCGGCAGGATCCATGACATATCAAAGTGGGACCAAGCGAAACAATCTTCGTTAGCTATAAGAAATTGAATGAGTTTTTTCCTGAGCTCTGGGCTAAACCCCGTGCCCAGGTATAACTTTCGATCGGGCAAATGTTCGGTTAGTATGACTTGTTTCAGTTCCTCAACCGTTGATTTTGTAGCATCAGAATGATCTGGGGACTCTGTAGTCCTCGTCCTCGCCTACTCTTCGTTCCTTCGATTCCGTCGAGGCTAGTATCGGTGATTGCTATTTGTCCCCGTCTTTGACCATTTGTTTCAGATCCTCCTATGTCAAGAGTGTGGATGTCAAGATCACCTCATTGATTGCAAACATCTCCTTGGCGACCTATTGTTCCCCATAAACTATTTGGACTCCTCCGGGTGTTAGGAATTTCAGCACCTGGTGCAGTGTCGAGGATACTGCTCTCATGTTGTGAATCCATGGCCTCCCGAGCAAAGCGTTGTATCTCATATCCCCTTCTATTACATAGAACTCGGCTTTCTGCACAGTTCCGGCAACGTTCACCGGTAATGTTATTTCCCCATTAGTGGTCTCGCATACCATGTTGAACCCGTTCAGGACTTGGACCGGAGGTACGATATGATCTTGTAGGATGAGTTGTTCCACGACACTTGATCTGATGATGTTGGCTGAGCTACGTGGATCAATTAACACACGCTTAATTCGAGATTATTTACGAGTACCAATATTACCAGTGCGTCGTTGTGGAGCTGCACGATCCCTTCAACGTCTTCGTCATTGAAAGAAAAGGTTCCTTCCGGTACGTAATCCCGAGTCCATTTTTCCTTGTGATGGATACTTTGGTGCGTTTCAGCATCGTACCCTAGAGAATATCGACTCCATCGATAATTATGTTAATGACGTACTAAGGCTCTTCCTGCTCAATCTGCTTATTAGAATCCCTGTTCCTGAAGTGGTTCTTGGCCCAATCACTCAGGAACTCTCGGAGATGCCCGTTGTTGAAAACATGGGCTAACTCTTCTCTTAATTTTCGGCAGTCTTTCGTTCTGTGGCCATGAGTGCCATGATATTTTCACATTAGGCTGGGATCCATTTGGGATAGATATGACTATAAAGGTCTAGGCCATTTGATATCTTTGATGCGTCCGATGTCAGATACAATAGCAGCGGCATCGATGTTAAAGTTGTACTCTGATATCTCAGTGCTTCTTTAGGCCCGACGGGCTTGTCGAAGCTGTTTTTGCTCATGAGTTCCTGGTTGCTTTGACCTCGATCACTACTCCTTTCATTTCTCATAGAGTTCTGCGTAGACCCACTATTTCTTCGGTCTCCATTGTACGACTAATATTGTTCCCTGTTTGATCTCGGTTCAAGATCGATGCCTCTCTTGACTCTGTCGATGGTTTTGACGGTATACACGGACCCAGAAATAGCCCCAAGTTGATCATCTTGGACCCTAATTTTCGATTGATACCAGTTATGGATATCGGCCCAAGTGACAACTGGATATTCTACCAAGTTTTGCTTCAACTACTGTGAAGACAACTAGCTCCGAATGTTGAGTCTTTGGGTAAGAGCCTGTCCCAATCATCAGCGATCGGTGGCAGGTCCATCCATTCCATTTGAAACCGGGACACGAACGGTGACAGGTCAATCTCATTATCCTTCTATTTTACTTTGAAAAGGTCTGACTTCCTGGTCTCGACCTTGATAGCCCCGGCATGTGCTTTCATGAAAGAATCTGCAAGCATAGTAAATGAGTCAATAGAACTAGGAGGTAAGTTGTGATACCATATCATAGCTCCTTTTGACAGGGTCTCTCCGATCTTTTTCAACAAGATAGACTCGATCTCATCATCGTCCAAGTCGTTCCCTTTGATGGAACACGTGTAGCAGGTGACATGCTCGTTTGGGTCGGTCGTTCCATTGTACTTAGGGATCTCGGGCATGCGGAACTTCTTAGGGATCGGCTTTGGATCTGCGCTTGGAGGAAAAGGTTTTTGCACGAACTTCTTGGAATCCAGTCCTTTCAATATCGACGGCGCGTCTGAGATTTGGTCGACCCTGTAATTGTAGGTTTCTACCTTTTTGTCATTAGCTTTGATTTCCTTCTCCCCTGATTCTACCCATTTTTTCAGTTCATCGAGCATCTTTATGATCTCGAGGTTAGTCCCCGAATCATTTTCATTCGAACATTCTGCGACCGGTTCATCCCTGCGGGTGAATTCTCGGGACGTATTAGATTCAATTTTAGTGGGTGCACGACTTTATTTCTGTAACTAAGCTATCTACGCCTATTGAGCATGTAACATTTCGAAGATCATCCATCCCGTCTCCTCCAATATTTTGTGTATTTTGATCTGCCGATCATGCTCCACCATGGATGCTATTCTCGGGGTCGGTAGACATATTTGTGTTGATAGCCACATGCGAGTTAGCGTCAATGGGGTCCGCAATCGGAATTCTGATGGGATCAACGGGCGGTACCTCGTTATTGGCACTATGTTGTTATTTTCGTCGTGATGGCCGGACTCATTGTCAACGTGTATAGGTACTGACTGAGAGTTTGACATTTTATGCTTTAATGTGAAATTAAAGATACTTCAAAGAATAAGTGTAAAGTAGTGTGTGTTATGGAGATTTGTATCAAATAACCACTATTATTCTTAGCCTCACGGTGGGCGCCAAACTGTTTACCCTCAAAATCGGATAACAATTGAATTTATAAGTGCGTTAAAGGATACGTGGATTAACTTGACATAAAATGATAAATTAGATTGCAATTGAAATAAATAATGATAAAGTAAATGCAAACCACACGAATTAGACAATTTGAGCCTTGGAAGGTTAGCCACCCTCAAGCCGAATGCACTTCGATCGGTATCAAGACATAGAAGAATAAGAGCTTAAAGAGAATAATAATAATATTGTATTGCTTTGGAATGTGTGTTACAATGTGTTAAATGAATTATCAGACCCTCTTTATATAGTATAGAAATCCTACTTTAGGTACAATTCTATAAAAGGTAAAAAATCTCTTGATTTGCTGATTGTCGGTTCTTTATTGATATGTGCCGAGATTTCTGCCGTAATATCCGACCGCTTATGGATATTTCGGTCTTCTGTTATGCTAACAATGTTTCTTTGAGCTCATTCAGGGCTAAGATCGATTCCGGGATCACGATCTCGATATTCTCGAAGGCAGGCATTCCAACCTCGGGTTCTAACCCGATGGGACTTGGGGTCGATCTTCAGTCATTTATTGCTATGTTCCGAACCTGACCTACCATGTCGTAGGCGAGCTTGATTTTGACCGTATACACTGCTCACTTGTTATTTTTACAAAAATGTGCAACAGGTCCTAGATGGCTATAATATAGTACTACTGTACGAGAAAACATAAATATAATGGACCATGTCGATTACAGTAACGATTTATATAGACGAGTCAGTATATAAGTCTTAATCAAAAGAAATTTGAGCCACACAATGATATATTTCTAAGTATCCTCAACTTCTCTCCTGAAGTAGTCACGTCAATATGAATTGTAGTTTGAAATCCATAGCTCCCATTCGTCCATAGATTTTGGCAATTTTCTTTTTAATATTTTTTTTTGAAAACATTGTTTATTTGTTCATGGAATATGATTAATTTGAAAAAAATATTTTTTTTTTCAAGTTTCCAAAATCTCGTTTAGAGCAGTTGTCAGGTGAAATTGTTTCTTCTACTCACAAAACTTTAACTTTTTTCAAATAAAATTCATGTTCAAACACAATTTCAACAACAACAACCCAATATAATCTCACAAGTGGAGAGGGTAAGATAGTGTGTACGCAGATCTTACCACTACCCTGGAGGGGTAGAGAGGCTGTTTCCGATAGATCCTCGGCTCTAGAAGACAAAAAGAGACAATATATCGGCCAGAAAGATATTTTTCGCAACCTAAGAACCAGAAAAATAGATGTAAAAAGTAATAACAATAATTAACAAGTAACAATGGTAAGATACTAGAAAAACGAAGCGGAAAATTAATATGAACACAATATGAACTACTAGCAGCCTAAGATAAGACATTATCACACTAGCCTCATACACTCGGTATGTAGTGGAAAAGTAATCAATTGCCTTCTAACCTTCAACCTTAATGCTAGACTTTCACACATTTCTATCAAGGGTCATGTCCTCAGTTTTATAATTAAATATCTATAAATATATGTATGGATTTTTTAACAAATTTATAGGATCTTGAGCTCAAAAGGCTATTGGGTCACTTTTGAAACCGTAGATTACAAGCTAGATCCGCCTCTAAATTTAATTGTAGCCTCGGCCCAATCACCATCTTAATTATTAGTTATATTGGCCAATGTAAAATTAAAGGTTTTGTTGCACTAACTTTTACATAAATAGTCGGTCGGGTTTACTGATTATTTTTCTTAGCCAATATATATAGATTATATACTAATTATATATGATTATGCATATATTAGATATGCATTTTACATATACGTACTATACATCTCCTGACTATTTTTAATTTAAACGGTTGCCTGGGCGGCTATTTACATGAATTCTTCTTAATTTTTACCCTTCTTAATTTTTTTCTCTTTCTTCAACTAAAGGTCCTTTCGCGGACATCCCATAAAGTTCTTCAACTCAAGTTAATAACTGTTTTCACGTATTTCTTAAAGAAATGCTAATTGATTTTTATTTGTAATTCTTCTCTTGATAAATTACAAGTATGTCTGATCATCATGAATATGAATAGGCCAAGATTATTACAGAAATTATGTAATAGGATGAACCAAGTTGAAGAGGACTTGATCTCGAGTTCCACCATCTTGAACACCAAATCCATCTCCAAATTGGTACATGACATGTGCCATTCATGCTTCATTTACTACATGCTTGACAAGTTTTCGATGTGATGTAGAAAGAGTATTAAAATGATAATTGATCTTTTTCCACGAATCCAAAATTATGCTTTCGATATGCTCTCGGGCTACTTCCTCTGATACATTTTCTTGTTGCATGTAACATAAAATTGATGAAGCAACATCACCTCTCTCTAGCTCCGTCTACATGAAAGAAATATTATAAAAATTAAGAACTGGCCAAATGGGGAAATGGGGGTAATCATTAGAATGGAAAGCACAAAAAAAGAGAGGTGAAAGCTTGAGGTTTTACCACTAAGGTACCCTGATCATTGCAAAGTCGAATTACAACCGAAGTGTGGTAAATAATTTCATGGCAATCTTCGTATAAATCAAGAGTTTCTTTTGTTATTTTATTTGTTAGACCAAAAATCACATGTAAGGAAAGCAAATGGCCTGACGATGAGATACACCCATTATCAAGGTACTCTTCAAGTGTTGGTATATGACCTTTGTGATACCACGTTGCTTCCAACAGCAAAGCTTTGCAAAAGTTGACCCACTGAATTATTGAAACAATATCAGAAGACTTTCGTAAGACATGCATGAAAAGAGACATGTAAAAGATGTAATGAACACAGGTTAGACAACAAGAAAATGAAAGACGTGACTACAGCCTGTAAGTCTACGGGGTAAGTTTTTTCTTTTCTTTTTTTAATAACCCCCAAATGACACTACAGGGTAAGTTTCGCTTTTAATTACAGCTTCATTTTTGAGGTGAGACAAATTGGCTTTTTTGGGATGGAGGGAGTATATATGTAAATAAGCAACATGATAATACATCTAGTATGAATGCATGCAGTAACCTAGAACCCATATATATATATATATATTGGAACCAAGTTGCTTTAGCTTAGGCTACGTTATGGGATAATTTGGATGGTGGATTTTATTTAAATAGAGTATCCTTTATCTCCTGAAACAACTGATGCCATTAGTTTTTAGCATAGGAGAAAAGGAGTTCGGCACATATATTTCTCATGCTTCCATGTCGAGGCTCAGGGGCAACTCCTACAGCACAAAAGAAGCTTTCCACAATGGAAAGATTCCTTGTAAAGCTCAAATCTTCAACTATGGAAAGATTCCTCCACCATCTGTTAAATTCACAAGAAATTATTTTCATATAAAAACAAGAAGAAAGTGATTCTCATTTGACATGTTTTAAGTACCTTAATACGTGTTTGAGATCCTTTTGGTGCGTGGCTTGAACTATATTGAAGTTAAGTTTTGCCAACTTGAGCAACATTGGATTTGTGTTGTTGCATTCAAGTTCTCGAGCACAGATATGTTTTCACTCTCCATGCCACTGGAAAACTCAAGCTATTGCTCAAATTATATTCCTTATTAGTAAATGTGTAATCTGATTTAGATACAAGGCTCTTGAGGTTTTTTGTTGTGAACAATCGTGTGTCGTCTAGTAAGTTTTCACCTTCCATGTTCATATACNTGCCAACTTGAGCAACATTGGATTTGTGTTGTTGCATTCAAGTTCTTGAGCACAGATATGTTTTCTAACATCATACCATTTCACTCTCCATGCCAATGGAAAACTCAAGCTATTGCTCAAATTATATTCCTTATTAGTAAATGTGTAATCTGATTTAGATACAAGGCTCTTGAGGTTTTTTGTTGTGAACAATCGTGTGTCGTCTAGTAAGTTTTCACCTTCCATGCTCATATACGACCCTTCCAAAACCTCCAACAATGTTTTCACATCTGAGACTTTCAGCTTTCCTTTGCCATCGAAGAAGTCCTTTAACATATCTGTAGTACAACAATAAAAACAACATGAAATTAAATAAGAAAGACATTATATTGCTTTTTAGGCCTCAAAAATTAGGTCAAACTTACAATTATTTATATATTATATATAATTCATATATATTTTATTTACAGTATTAAAGATTAAATTTACCTCCTTAATTAGCACATATCATTAATTAGCATATTTACCTCCTTTAGATTATGGATTCATTTTCCTCTTCCAACAATTTTACTTTCCAATTTCAATTATGTTTTTCTAAATCAGATATTTCTCTTTATCCGACCTGTTTAATTTATTTCTTAATTAGAAATTAAATCCTCTGCCTAACGAATACAATATATGATTTTTACTAAATAAAGTTAAAGCACTTTATTAAGATAATTTGGTTTAGACCTCTAATGCTATTGAGCCGCCCCTGTCTACATAGTCTAAATCCTAGCTGTGCCACTGTTATTAATTAACTTATTGATAACCTTGTGAAGCATGGTGGCCATGTTCCCTGAGAAGCCTGAAGTAACAACTGAGTCCAAGTTTGTCAATGCTGTCTATAAGCTCTAGCAGGTCCAGTGGACTAATAGTACTGTTTGAAAACGTGCAACTAACTTCCTCTTTTAGCTTCTCAGCCTCAACTTTGTACTTCTCTTCCTGCAGGAGCGATTATTAAAAGTATTTCGAACATGAACATTAATTAAGAGATAAAAGTTGTTAAATACTCACAGAATATTCACTTGTAAGAGTAAGTAGATGATCATATTTCCAAATGTTTGGTTTATAGGTACAAATCTTCCTTTCAGGCAGACTTTGCTTTTTAATAGTACTATGAAGTTTATTAGTCTGCATAGTGGAAAAAAGGGACACAATATTGGGACACAATATTGGAATAATAGAGGTGGAGAAGATACAGGAATAATTGTGGAGACCTTTCATAACTTCTAAGAGCTTATATAGTAAACTGACTGATTAATTTCATGTAGCAGTTTGATTGAATACGTCACGTCTTTCTATTACCATTTGTTCATCATGTTCTCAGATCTAAACTTTCGTATAAAGTGAAAGAAACCCTTAGTCGTGAGTATTTTTTCTACTTAATTCTTCTTCTTCATCATCTTCTAATTTTTTCTTAGCCAAGGGTCTATTGGAAATAACCTCTCTACCTTTACTACGTAGGGGTACTTAGGTCTGCATACACACTACTCTCCCCATACATTAATGGCGGATCTAGAGTATTGTTACTGGGTTCCCGGAAACCCAATAACTTCTGCGTAGATGCTGTATTTCTATTAAATAATCCACTAAATATTTATAAATATCTAACTGTGAACCGAGTTATTATTGTATATTAATTTAAAATTACGGTAGGAAGTCATAAACTTAGACACACATATAAAAATTTGTTGTTGATATTGAACAAAGGAAATCTTTTGTTAATGTTGTGATGATGTATAAGTAAAAGAGAGAGAGAACAGAACGAAACAAAAATAGAATTAGAGTCCTTAATTCGAAAACACAACTTAAAATACAAAAAAAAAAAAAAAAAAAAAAGAAAAAAAAAAAAGAAGAAGTTGTAAACGACGCAAGATGAGAAAACTATTGTGTGGAATGCGGACTTAAAACTGACGTTCAGTCAGCCATCTAGACTTCAAGATTCCTTAGGTCAAGTTTTACAAGTTTTTTTATTTTTTATTTTAAATAAAATTACGCGGTGGCACATTCCTTTCCTTCCTTTGACAAGTTTGTCTCGACCCGAAATATTTAGAGTCAGCACTAAAGATCCTATTTATCAGGGAAAAAGAAAAGAAAAGAAAAGAAAACATGTTATTACCTTTTTAGAAATGTTTAAGCTACATACTATAACAATAGTGTAAAAATATTTTTTTATATTATTGTAAAAGTCAACTAATTACTTATAGGAGTAAGTTTAAGTGCTTGTGTAGAAGTAAAAGAATAGACTTTTTCTCTTAAGTAAAAGAATTGACCCTTTTTTAGTAAAAATATAGTGGTCCTTAAATCAGAGAATTAAAGTAATTCCAATGTAAAACGTTGTAACTTTTAAATGTTCCCGTAAAGAAATGCAAATTCTTTTCTCGATTTTTTGGAAAAAACTGCGTTCAGTAATCTCATGCAGGTGTGTGCTTTTTCTCTTAAAGTTTTCTGGACACTCGCTTAAATAATAAATAAAATATTGTGGATTGTAATCCAACTTTCAGTTTATTGCATAAAGTTTTAATATTAAATTTTCAGTTTGTATTTAAAAAATAATTCAATTATGTTTATATACTACAGAAAATAAAAAAACGCTGGAAAATGCTAATACGATTTTAGAAACAAAAATCGACTGTCATTTTAACAACTCATCGTATGTAATATTTATGTGGTACCATATTTTTTGACCCACTTATAAAGTAAAAGATCCATGATGTGTCATATGATGAAATTAAAGGCATTGGATATTAGGTTGGGTAAAAAATTTAAACTACTGAAGAGATTATATCACATTAAATAGTGATCATGCTACTTTTAGATTATTATCTTAAAATGATTTAGCCCCTTATAGGGAAACTCATAGATTTTTATATATCGGTTTAATACAAGTTGCCTTCAAGTCACTTACGTTAAGAGGCTTACCTAAAAGCTTCATAGCAGCTCTCAGAGATGGCAGAAACTAAAACTGGAAGAAATCCCTTATAGGGACAGTCACTACTAGAAATTCGGCAAAAACCGACCAAAGTCGACCGACCAACTTTGGTCGGTAAAAAAACCGACCAAAAAACCGACCAAAGTTGGTCGGTTTTTCAAAATATATATATATATTTTTTTTACGAAACCGACCAACTTTGGTCGGTTTTCTTTGGCGCAAAAATGCGGAAAACTATTTTTGAGTCCTGCGAAATTTATGTTTCAAGAAACCGACCAACTTTGGTCGGTTTTTCAATTAATATAAATAAAAATTAATATTAAAAAAACCGACCAAAATTGGTCAGTTAATTCGGCGGGTCATTTAAAAAAACCGACCAACTTTGGTCGGTAATTTTACTTTTTAATAAAACCGACCAACTTTGGTCGGTTATTTTCGTGCGAAAATATAATTAAAGAGTATAAATCAAATAAAAGACAGTCTTAAAATAAAATGTACAAATGGTCTAGTGGTAGAATAGTATCCTGCCACAGTACAGACCCCGGTTCGATTCCCAGATGGTGAATTTTTTTTTTACATAATTAAAATACCGACCAATTTTGGTCGGAAAAAACCGACCAACTTTGGTCGGTTTTTTTTGCAATATTTTTTTTTTGAATTTAATTGAACGATCAAAGTTGGTCGGTAATTTCCGACCAACTTTGGTCGGTATTCCTTTCCGACCACAAAAATATCGTCCACACGTATATGGTCGCGTTTTGGTCAGTTTTTTGCCATTACCGACCAACGTTGGTCAGTTTTTTTGGTCGATTTTTACCGAATTTCTAGTAGTGAGTACAAAAAAATCCCTTATAGGGACAGTACAGACCAGTTTGGCCTATAGCCATGTTTATTTTAATGCTTATCCTAATTTGCAAATTTCTTTGAGTGATGAAAACTGTATAAATCCTTTAATATTGAATATTAAGCTTCATGGTTATGATTATATACCAGGAACTGAAGTTATATGTATCTGTTATAGGATTTATTACAAACCTTTATATACTTTAAATCCTATGTGCAAAATTATGGATTTTAAACATAAAACTATTCTTATAGAAACTAATTTTGGTTAGTCTTAAGTTACTACGACTTATTAAGCGGGATGAAATAGATATTCCCAAAGAATGGATTATTGAGAAAGATGTAACGATACAACCGGGCGTTTTGCCTTTTAGAATTCCGTTCCCCTAAATAAGACTCTCCGTATGTGCTTTTACTATTTTATGACTTGCAGGGATGGTTAGTTCGGGAATTTGAAGAGTTCGAGTTGAAAGTAAAACACTTGGTTCCTTGGTTTGGTTTTAAAGGGTAAGTTTGACTTCGGTTAATGTTTTTAGTAAATGACCCCGGAATCGGGATTTGACGGTTCCAATAAGTTCATATGATGATTTTTGGACCTGGGCGTATGTTCGAATCGGGTTTTGAACAACCCGGGAGTGTTTCAACGCTTAATAGTGAAAGTTGGCTATTTGAAGGTTTAAAGTTTTTCAAATTTGGTTTGGAGTAAGTTTTGGAGTAATCGAGATCTGTTCGGAATTCCGAGCCTGACAATAGTTTTGTATGGTGATTTAAGACTTGCACGTAAAATTTGATGTCATTTCGAGTAATTTAAGTATGTTTCAACACGTTCGGAGTACGCTTGAAGAACTTGAAGTTTCTAAGTTGAATCAATTTGGTTTGGGGTATGACTCTTAGTTTTTATGTTATTTTATGCGTTCCGAGGGTTCGAGCGAGTCCGTTTTATGATTTCAAACTTGTTGGTATGTTCGGGCGGGGCCCCGGTGGCCTCGGATGTTAATCGGACGATGCTCAGACCAAGTATGGACTTAGGAGCAGCAACTGAAGCTTCATGCTTCTGGTGTGATCGCACCTGCGCTTGGCCAGCCGCAGGTGCGAGCCATAGGCCACAAGCCACAGAAGCAAACCAGTGAGGGCAGCCCAGTGACTGCATGTGCGGAGGATTTGACGCACCTACGAGCGCGCAGGTGCAAAGGCTGGGACCGCAGGCGCGACGAGGGCCGCAGATGCGGAAGGCTGGTCGCACCAGCGGACGCGTAGAAGCGAACCACTGGTCCGCAGGTGCAGAATTTGCTTCTGAAGAGGGGTATTCACCTAGCAACTTGGAGGTAAGTTAATTCTACCTATTATGAGTTAAATACATAGATTATGGGTAGATTTTAACATGTAAATTATGGAAATCAAGGGTTTAGATAAAAAACCTAGGCTTTGATAAAAATGAGATTTTAACCATGAAAATGGTTATGGAATGGGATGACAATTGTATATTTGAGTTCTTAAGGTTATGGGTAATGATTTTCTTTGAAAATTTTTGGAATCTGGGCACGCGGACCCGGGGGTAAATTTTAGGAATTATATCAATTTAGGTTAGGTAATTAGTCTAATAATTTAATTTCGAATTGTTGAGCATGTATTGATAAAATTATATAATATTTGACTAGTTTCGGATTTTTCGGCACCAAATTGAGGCTTTAGCACGAAATTGTGACTGGAAAGTGAGCTTTGAGATGAGGTAAGTCTCTTGTCTAACCTTGTAAGAGGAAATTTACTCCATATGTGATTTAAATTAAATGTTGATACAATTTGTGGGGGGGCTATGTACGTACGAAGTGATGAGAGTCCGTGCATACCTACTAATTATGCTTATGTCCGGGTAGTTTTAGAACCCAATGCATGAACTATTTGGAATTGTTTCACCATACTTGTTAATTTAAAAATGCCTAAATTATATTAGGATTTGTTAGAAAAATTGTGAAAGATCACTAATGGAATTCATATTCTTTTAGTATAAATCCTTAATAATGTTTAAGTCAAATACTTATAAAGTATCCTTCTTTTCTTGTGGAGCGGGCCGAACGCCTTGGCAGTAGATAAATGCATCTATGGTTCGTGCCGCTCGACCCTCGGCAGTGTACACATTATTCCGGATCGGGCCGTACGACCTCGGCATAAATCGTGCTTAATAAATACTTGGTGTCTTGATATTTTGTTGTGGCTTGTAAGATTACATCCTTTAAAAGGAATGACTTATTTGAAAATTATATAATTGTGAAAGAATTATTTGCTCCTGCTTGTTGAGAAGATTTGAATTTATTTATACATCTAGTAATCATATTAAAATTTTATCTGTATAATTATTGACCCATAGTGAGTGTCGAAGTCGACCTCTCGTCACTACTTATTCGAGATTAGACTTGAT